CTGCAGGGCAATCAGGGGATTGGGGAGTTCCCCCCTATCAGGCACAGGACCAGGCCTGTTCAGGGGGGTGGGGCCGCCCTTCCCCTTGTCACGAACAGAAGCAGGGGCGGATAGGAAGGTTTTGGCCCCGCCCCCTGTCACACACAGAGCCGCAGGGCGATCAGGGGGTTGGGGAGCTCCCCCCTGTCACACACAGAGCCGCAGGGTGATCAGGGGGTTTGGGCGCTGCCCCCTGTCACGCTGATCCTGGTGCCGGGAGCCTCGCTGCTCTGCTGATACCGGTGCCGGGAGGCATATTACCCTTTTACTATATAGAATAGAGGCCTGGTGCATGGGTAGGGGCTGGCTGGTTTGCCCTGAAGGGTGTCCTGGATCAGGGTGGGGGTCCCCACTGGGGTGCCTGGCCAGTCTGGGTGAGGGGCTGAGGGCTGTTTTCAGGCTGGCGGGTGACTGAAGCTCCCAACCGCTCCTTGTTTTCTTTTTTCTTTTTTTTTATTCTGGGCCAGTTTTAGCTCTGAGGCCTCGGCTGCTGAAAACATCGATACAATGTTGCGGTCTGGCTGGCTTTCAGTCCAGCTGGTTTCTGGGGTTTTGTTTAACTTCTTATTTGCAACATAGTATATAGTTGCTTAGACTTGCAGCTGAGAGGCCGGCAAGTTAGGCGGGGAACGTTGGAGTCCGCAGTCACTGAAGCAGGCAAGCCTCCCTGCTCGCTTCAGTAAATGGCTGCCGGCTGCCATCTTGGCTGACAGTTAATTTGCATAAGGATATGCTGATTAGCCAATGGGAAGGGTAGCAGTCGTACGCCACTTACCATGTTTCTCTTTTATTAGTGTAGATAGTGGAGAATTTAGGAAGTAGAGGATCCTGAAAAGTGGACATGATACCAGATGTTGACAAAATGCTTTCATGTAAATATGTACATGGTAACGTTATAGATACTATATATGAATTAGAGTTCTGCTTAGGTTTGCAAACAGATTTTTTTTCCTTTTACATTTCTGAAGATTTTCTATGAAAAGGAAAGTTAAAATAAATAACTGCCTGATGGAGATTAAGGTAGACAGGCAAATAGGAATGTGTTCCTGAGAAGGGTGAACTCTGGGACAGAGTGATACATGTAAAGAAGGCTGTCCTTGGATACAAAGGAGAGGCCTGAGGCTGGGAGTCAGAAGTCTTTAATTTTTGTCCTGGTCTGACCAATTGTGATTTTTAACCAAGTCACTGAACTTGGGCCCCTTCTGCTTTTTAAAAATATGTATGAGTTTTGTTTTGTTTTAATATCCTTTATTGATTTTTTACAGAGAGGAAGGGAGAGGGATAGAGAGTTAGAAACATCGATCAGCTGCCTCCTGCACACCCCCGACTGGGGATGTGCCCACAACCAAGGTACATGCCCTTGACTGGAATCGAACCTGTGACCCTTCAGTCCACAGGCCGATGCTCTATCCACTGAGCCAAACCAGTTAGGGCTGTATGTGTTTTTAAAAAAATATGATTTTATTAATTTTAGGAAGAGGGATAGAGAGATAGAAACATCGATCAACTTCCTCCTGTATGCCCCGAGCCCACAACCCAGGTATATGCCCTGACGGGAATTGAACCAGTGACCTCTTAGTTCATGGGTCGATGCTCAAGCACTGAGCCACCCCAGCCAGGCATAAAAAGTGTATGTTGCCTTAGCTGATTTGGCTCAGTAGATAGAGCGTCGACCCACGGACTGAAGGGCCCCGGGTTCCATTCCCGTCAAGGGCATGTACCTCAGTTGCAGGCTCGATCCCCGGCTCTGGTCAAGGTGCTTGTGGGAGGCAACCAATCGATGTGTCTCTCGCATTGATGTTTCTGTCTGTCTCTTCCCCACCCTTCCACTCTCTTTATTTTATTTTATTTTATTTTTTTAAATCTTTATTGTTCAGATTACATTTGTTCCTCTTTCCCCCCCCCCATAACTCCTCTCCTCCCAGTTCCCGCCCCACCCTCCGCCCTCACTCCCCACCCACTGTCCTCATCCATAGGTGCACGATTTTTGTCCAGTCTCTTCCCGCATCTCCCATTCCCCTTTCCCCCCCAAGAATAGTCAGTCCATTCCCCTTCTATGTCCCTGATTCATTATAATCACCAGTTCATTCTGTACATCAGATTATTAATTCACTTGATTCTTAGATTCACTTGTTGATAGATGCATGTTTGTTGTTCACCATTTGTATCTTTACCTTTTTCTTCTTCCTCTTCTTAAAGGATACCTTTCAGCATTTTGTATAATACTGGTTTAGTGGTGATGAACTCTTTAGCTTTTCCTTATCTGTGAAGCTCTTTATCTGACCTTCAATTCTGAATGATAGCTTTGCTGGATAAATAATCTTGGTTGTAGGTTCTTGGCATTCAGCACTTTGAATATTTCTTGCCATTCCCTTCTGGCCTGCAAAGTTTCTGTTGAGAAATCAGCTGACAGTCTTATGGGTCTGTCCTTTGTAGGTAATTGAGTCATCTCGTCTCATGCTGCTTTTAAGATTCTCGTCTTTGTCTTTTTGCTCTTGGCATTTTAATGATAAGGGGCCTGGGTGTGGCCCTCTTTGGAAGTCCTTTTGTTGGGGTTCGCTGCGCTCCTTGGACTGGAAGCCCATTTCTTCCCCCGGTGGGGGAAAGTTTCTGCCTTATTTTCTGAAATAGGTTTTCAAAACT